TCGGATCCTATATAGGGATGACCGGTGCACTCACAGCGCTCACTGGCTGAGCGCAGTGCGGCCGGTCTCAAAAAAGGACAAAAAAAAAAAAAAGAATAATAATTAAAGTCCTTTCTCTTTTATTTTTAGCCATTGGGAAGAGAGGTGATTTGGAACTCAGAATTTTTCAAAGTTTACAAAGGCAACAGCGTATGATACATGGCAGTCCTAGTGGAGTCTGGGCAGCCCCCAGACTCAAACGTGTAGCTTTTTCTGCAGCCAGTGACAAGGAGTCACACTAAAGGGACTAATTAAGGCTACAAATACCCTCTGGCCAGTTTTTATTGCCAAATGAATTTTGAGACCACGTTTTTAAAAAAATATTTGGAATTGCAGAACTTTTTGTGCATGAGGAATTATGGACCTATATTGCCCTCCCAAGCATAGCACAGAAGAATCACTCAATAAATGGAGCTGATAGCAGTGATGTGATGCATGGGGATGGTAGAGAACTACTCCAGTGGGTATTTGAAACACACACCTCTGCATCTTACAGGAAAATGTGACATTAGCCTTCGTGTTGCATGTTGTTGTGACCTAGGCTTTGTGAGAATTGCATCCTCTTTTATGAGGATTTAGTATTTATTCAAAAATTCTTAAAGAAATAGTAATTAGTTAGAAACACGAATCCAGAAAACACAATGAATATTAGGTAGTAGGGACTTATTACAGACAATGACTTTACAGATAGGTTATACAAGTTGGCTAGGACTCTGCTATGCAATCATGGGGGAGTCAGTGCCTGTGGCCAGTTCTGAGGCATTTCACAGAGAGTGGGTCAGTGTGTGTTGATTTGCCCTAACCCAGTTTTGCTGTCCATTGTGACAATGCTATTTCCTCAGAGGTTATTTAGCCTATAGCCTGAACTGTTCTGAAACAAAAACAGAGCTCTTTCCTATGTCATTGTGCCACCTGTATGTCAGTTGTGCCAACCTGGAAGAAGAGGCAGTGTAGACCAGAGACTAAGAGAATGTACCCTGAGGCCAGACCTTCTGGGTCCAAGTCCATAAAATAACTGATACTGTTATTGGTCCTGTGTCTTCACCTGTAAAATGGGGATGAGGATGTACCTACCATGGCTCACTGTGAGGGCTGGTGGGTCAGTGCTCACACAGCAGGATAATTATTAGTTAATAAACAATCATAATCATACTTGCCATTGTCACGGTCAATCTTGTAATTAGGGCCTTGGTTTCCTTTTCGTTACAGACAGGGAGTTAAGGTAAACAGTATGTACAATTTTCTGCACATCTGATATTTGACTGAAGTGCTGAGAGAGGCAATCTGTTTTAAGTGTTGGCGTCACGCTTTGGAGCAACTTTGACCCTGGGGCTGTCATTGTGTCCATTAGAGGGCGCTGATGTGCATGCAGAGGAATGAGCTTGCACCACGTCCTCTGAACAGAGAGGAAGGTGCTGTAGACCTCCGGCTTTTCTCTTCTGCCTCTGAACCAGGTAGCCCAGGGAATGGGGTCAGCTTTTGCCCTTTTCCTCAAATCTGGAAGGAAAGCAGCAAGTCCTGTGCCAGTGCTGTGGTCACTGAGGTCACAGGGCGAATAATGACAGTCACTGGCCATGGCTGAGATCGGGGAGGCAGCTGGCTGAACTAGACTGATAAAGCCCCATGATTTGATAATCTTATGCTTTAAATTAAAAGATTTCACAAGCATGTCTTTAAAATGTTATTTAGACAAGTGCAAGAGTATTTTTTAAAGTTCGTGGAAAAATGGAATTAGAAGATAATACGAATCTTTCCATGAACTTTTTGAAGACCCCTCATATATTGACTCAATATTTCTTGGCAATCTGGGAAATCTATCCATATTTGTAAAAGAAGCAACAACCTCATGAGGGTGTTTGGTTGTATTAGCTGGATTTCATAACTGTCTACTATTATTTTAATAAAGTGCTTGGGATTTCCACATTCTTTGAATTACTTTCATGTTTGTTAGAAATCAGTTTCATCTGGTATTTATATTTCTATCTGAAGAAACCACTAATAAATATCATAACCCTGAGCAGTTGGTTCATAGTAGCTTTTATTTCCAATTTATTCTTCTGGAATACTTTTCTTATGCTTAAAAAACAAGTGTTTACTATTTTTAAAATACTGTATTTTGCTTTTTCCAGCCCTTTCTAGCAAATAATGTTTACTTTTTGAAATTGTTCCCTTGTTTCAAGTCTCTGTGAAGCTACCAGTAATCATCAGGTTCTCTGCTTTCTGATAGTTATATTTTTCTTTTTACAGTTGAGAAATATACATAATATACTATATAGTAAAAAACAAAAAAAGGTCTCCCTACCCCTTTATGAAGATCTTATGGGCAGGTGGACTGTGGCATAGGTGTGACTTATACGCGGGGTCTTCCAAAAGTTCGTATAATAATTCATATTATTTTAATTCTATTTTCCCACAAACATTTTGAAGTACCCTCATATGCCTCTAAATTATTTTCAAGGTTAAAATATTTGCCACTTGTCTTCTGCATGGCATTGTCCTTATGCCCGGAGATATATTCCATTAAATGTATCTGTTCTTAGAGGTTGAGAGGGCTTGACATCACCGAGATGTTTCTGTAGGAATAGAATGGGACCTGTTTATAGTATATACTAAGGAAGAGACTGTCATAAAAACAGCTCGGTAGCTTTATGTCTGCCGTGAAGTCAGGTGATGAATGTAAGACTACCTTAAAGGTCTCTTTCCCTCATCTCAAGAAAGAAAAATAATGTACTAAGTACACTATTTAGAAAGCAATGGAATATTTACAATCTATGCCTTCAAGGAGCTTAAAATCAGAGGGAAGCCTGCCATGGGTTCTGGTTTATGGGTGGGGATGGCACATGTGCTGTATACTTATGCTTAACATAGATATTATCGAATATTCAGAAGTCCCCATGATTATCACCACTGATCAGGTGAGGAACCTGATGCTCAGAAAGGGTAAGGAACGTGCCAGGAGCACACAGCCCGATCCTGTGTGTGTGTGCAGGGGGCTGGAAATGAAGGGGTGGAAATGGGAGCACTTTCCGAAGGAGAACCAGGAGAGCTAGGTGACGGATTAGGCTGAGGTGATAGAATACAAATGGATCCAGTTAGAATTACTCTGATTGAGTGCCCCAGGTGACAGGCAGAGTGGAGATGTTGACAAAAAAAGGTTCAGAAATGAATAGTAGTCATAAGGCAAATGTGTAGCTTTGTTGGCCTGAGCACCACGGCCCAGCTCAGCCACCACCGACCCCACACCACCCACATTGCTGATCTCAGCTTCTGCTAGTTCTACAAGCCTCTTCACAGAGGACCCCAAGAGGTTTGTTAAGGTTTGCAAACCACTTTATTTACACGTAATAGTAACTTTGCTAAGTCCTATGCAGAAAGGACCCTCAGGCGCTTGGGTTTGCAGGTCACTGGTTTGGAGCAATGGAGAACAAATCAGGCTCCTGCCCTTACCAGCTGCCCCTTTTTTTCTAGACATCTGTTGGCACAGCTGATCTCCCTATAGAAGCTAATGAAGGGCCAGGAGTCCTTTTCCTAGCATGAACCACAAGTGAAGCTCCTTTTATTTTGCCACTAGCAGAGCACTGGGGCTGGTCTGCTTCCAGGTTGTCCTCTGGACCACTGGCTTTGCTGGTGTGCCCGTTTGTCCTTTAGTCCAAGATCATTTTGATCTGTATGCTTAGGTCCCTGCTATGGTCTGGATGTTTGTGTCCCCCCAGATTCATCTACTGACACATGATCCGCAGTATGATGGTATCGAGAGGTGGGGCTTTGGGGAAGTGATAAGGTCATGAGGGTTCCACCTTCTTGAATGGGAATCATGCCCTTTTAAAAGAGGCCTGAGAGAGCTGGTTTGCCCTTTTGCCATGTGAGGTCACATAGAAGACACCATCTGTGAGGTATGAGCCCTCACCAGACATGGAATCTGTTGCTGCCTTGATCTTGGACTTCGCGACTCCAGAGCTGTGAGCAGTAAATTTCCTTTGTTTATGGTTTACCAGTCTAAGCTATTTTGTTAAAGCAGCCTGAACAGACTAAGATAGTATCATAGTTACAAACTGGTAAAGTATGAGTGAGCCTGCAGTACTTTAGCAACATATTAACAACTGTATTTAAATAGTTAAAATCTTTTACTAAAGTTTTTAGTTTTTAAAACTTTAAAGACATCATTGACTTAGTTTTTAGCTAGTTATCTTCTCTCCGTCAGAGAGACAAAGTGTGCGTTTGATGTCGTGTAAATGTTTCGTTAAATATCGTGTAAATGTTTCGTTAAATAGTGTCAGATTGGCAGTTTAAGTACAAGAACTTATTCCCAACTATGAACTTTAAAACATCAGATTGCACTGTTTGCTTTTACTCTTTTTCTTCAGTGTAGTAAATTTCAACTAGTGACACCTTTTAAGTAATTGAATTCATGGAGTGCTTATCTTTTGCAACATCGGAGTTTATAGAATAAATTATCCTCAAAGACAAGGACTGAGGCATGTGGTTTGTGTTCTTAGGTTTTACTTATGTGTTTTTAGTCTTCTAAAGAAGACATAACTCTGTAGTTAAATTGCCTGAGTTATGTAGCTTTGAACCTTATAAAAATGTTAAGTTAAACTGGTCCTTTGTGGGTTAATAATTACTATCCTATACAAAACCCAGTCAGGTCGGTGGCTCAGTCATGCATAAAATGAGGTGAGGTATAATTTAATCCTTATTGCATGTAACGCTTCTACATAGAAAGATTCACACTTCTAATGTTAGAGCTGATTAAAATCCTGGTGGGAAAGCTGATATAATTATCAGATTGTGATTATCAAGTTGTGTTAAATTAGTATCCAGTTACTTCTAAATTATTTTTCTCATTTGCTTCTTGTTTCTTGTAGAGTTTTGACAACAGAATATGTCTTCGTTGGTTAGCCCTTAATATTGAACAAGGCAGGACACTGTTTTATGATGTATGTATCTGTATTTTGTTATAGGTGCTGGACTGGATCGAGAACCATGGAGAAGCATTTCTGAGCAAACATACAGGAGTGGGGAAGTCTCTTCATCGGGCCCGAGCTTTGCAGAAACGTCACGAAGATTTTGAAGAAGTAGCACAGGTAAAACAATGGCTTTCATTATTTTCTCCCATAAATATGTGTGCGGTTGGGTTTGAATTACAGTTTTAACTGTATTTGAGATAACTTAGCATTAGCTAGATGTGTTTGTGGTGATTCAGATGAGGTAAATGCTCAGATGTCAGAGTGAAGTTGTTATCGCCTAGGCAGAAACATGATTTAATCCATTGACCCTTCTGTAAAATGTGATGGTCTTGAAATAGAAATATATCTTGGATATTTTTCTCATTTTTATTGTCCCCATGTTATTGACTAGTTTGTGAGATTTCTGTTTATAGTTGGAGAATAACAGTCCCTCTTGCATTTCTGTAATAATGGTCCCAGAATTTCTTGTCATGTTACTTAGGAAACAGGAGCCAGGAGTCTAATGTGTTTGGAGCATGGGATTTGTAGAGTTTGAGCCTTAACTATAACGTTCACAGGGTATGTGACTTTGGACAAGTCACTTAACCTCTCTCTAAACTTAACTTTCAGATCTGAAAAATAGGCTCAGTAGTGGCTCTTGGAGAGGAAGTGTGAGGGTAAGAGCAAGTTTGGCAACATTATGTAAAGCACACAGCTGGTTCCTTCTCACAACTTATTGTTTTGTAAATATGCCTCTCGTTTTGTTGGGATTTTTTTAGAGAAAGAGGAGTGAAGAAGGGAGAGAGTATAATAATGTGGCATATACAAATATGTATATATAAAAATGTATATATATACCAATGTGTGTGTGTGTGTGTGTGTATATATATATATATATAAAACATGTGACATATATAAATGGAGGTTATAAGGAGCAAGGGGCAAGTGTGTGTGTGTATATATATATATAAAACATGTGACATATATAAATGGAGGTTATAAGGAGCAAGGGGCAAGTTGTTTTAAAGTCATCTAAGTACAACAATTCCAAACTCAGATTTTGATAAAACTGAGGAACATCAAAGTCTTAAAAACAGGAAGAGAAATAACAAAATGACAGGTGAGAATAATGACTGTTAGACAGCAACTTCTCATTAGTAATCATACATTTCCAAAAGACAGTGGAATGGAGTCTGGGAAGTCCACAGTCCAGGGAATACATCTGGTGAGGTGACTCTGCAGCAGTGCAGGGTGTCACACGGTGAGAATGGTGGGGGGGGATGGGGGGGCCTGTTATGGTAGGGATTAAGTGTCAGTGACTTTGGGAGCCATTCAGTACACTGCACTTGTCCTGTACAATGTAAGTCAGTACCTTGTACAGGACAAATAAAGGGTTTAATTATACACTAGTCAGGAACTAAAATATGTAGTAGAATTATGGGATAACAAACACTATTCTATGAAAATGCCTTTAAAAAGATACCTTCTTTACATGTCTTCCTACGTAAGGTAAAAACAACAGTTGAAACCTTCTCGCTTTATTGATCTTGAGAAACAGGTAAGAAAAGACCACGTGTTCCGTAGCCTTGCCCCACACTGTATGCATTTGGGAGCCGTTCTCTTGTCCACATTACATGAGGTCTCCCTAGTTTCTCTTGCTGGAAAATATTTTACCTTCTTGTAGCAGAAGAAATGTGGAAAATGTGCTCTTCTCTCCCCTTTATTTTTTTCATAAGATAAGCTACGGCTCTAATTATGCAGTTCAAGGGTAGACATGAGATTTGGAGCATATTAGTAAAGACTTAAGGCACCAACGAGTGTAAGAGGCAGAACTATGAACAACCAGGCTCTGGAAATCAAGGCTTTTGCCTCGAATGGCACAGTTTTCATGTGATTGTGGCCTGGGCTGCCTCACCTTGTCCTCACACCTTCTTGAGTATTTCTAGTGTGAAGGATGACAGTCCGCTGAATTTTCTGTGTGTCCACCACCCCACTTGACCTCCAGTCCCTGTGCTTCCTTCCATTCTATATTAAAGAAGTACCTCCTAGGTCTAACCTCCTGGTAAACTTACTTCCTCATGTCTAAGACAGTCGTCAGTGCTGTCAGCACAGGCTCTCGGGGGCAGCAAGGGTGAGCAGGCTTCCCTTCCAGGAGACGCGTGTGCCTAGAGGTTGCGAGGGCAAGTAGAGGGTTCAAGTAGCACCTTGCACTGTGGACCCTGGGTTAGGAGGAAGATGGTTGCTTGTCCTCTGCTCCTCCAGGTTCCAGTTCTTCCTCATTATCTCTTGTTCATTGTGTCTGGGATTCCAAGGGATGCCTGACCATCTTCCCCAAATGGAAAGTGCTGAAGCTCAAATCTGAACTGTGCCTGAAAGGAAACCTTCAGTGTAAAACACCTTTTGCTCACTTTGTGAATACTGCACCTGCTTTCCCTACCTTTGGTTTTCAAATGATCACCCACCTTATGTCAGATGTTCTGCCAGGCAGGGGTGGGCACTACAGGTAGCTGTAGACCCCGCCCTCTTGAGTAGGCGTGCCTAGCTCTCAGAGGGCTTTCTGTGGTTGTACTCGATACCTAAGCCGAGACATGGAAATTAATACAGTTTAGCTTGGTGACAAGAAGAGCATGTTAGGTGCAGGCCTGGGGACAACAGGTGGACTGTTGGGCAGCCTGGCCATGTGGCCTGCAAGGCTGGAGTGTGGACCTGGCCTTCCCAGGCTGGGGAGCCACATGCAGACTACTGGTTTGTCCTGTTGTTGGGCCTCTCTGCTTCGCCAGCCTACCCTCAGGCGTGGGCCTGGACTCTCCACCCTAACTTGTGACTGCACCTGTGTTTTCTCGCCTGTTCATGTCTCAGCCTTTTCTGTCACCTGTATTCCCTTCCAATTCCACTGCTGTACCTGGGCCCTTCAGTTATGGCCTCTTTTTCCAGTATCTTCAGCTTCTCCCTCTGTTCTTTTCCTTCTAGCACTAAATGTTTATAGACCCTCTCCTCTCTTGAAGAACGTCGCGTGCTTCTGCTAGATTATGTAGGCACCAGTTGGTTTCAGAAGAGCCTCTGCCACTTTTACTCTGCTTCCTCATCACCCACGGTCCTGCTTTGGGGTCTGTCTGATGGAGCTGCAAACTACAGTTTGCATTGCTTAGAGTCAACATTCAGCAGTCTATTATTGACCGTGAACTGGGACCCAGCTGCTCACGTAATTCGCCTGCTCTCTCTTTAGAGTGAAAATATATGATTCATTCAGCCCACAGATATGCATTGACCTGTTGTGTGACAGGCACCAAGTCATCAGTAGAGAGCAGAACAGACGTGGTCCTGCCTCCTGGCGCTCTGGAATTTGGTACATGCTAGTTCATGTGCATGCAGATGTTACCAGTCACAGAGAACACCCCCTGAACCATTTCAGGCTGGTTCTACAGGAGTTCACTCTGCCTCAAAATTAACACCATCAAGTGTTGTAGGTAGAGGGATTGCCAGGTACGAGAGGAGCTGGCCTCAGAAGAAATGCAGTAAGGTGGACAAGGGGGTGCAAGACCCGGAGAAGTGTGGTAGACTTATCTCCCGAGCCCCTCCACCTTGCTCAGGATTTTTTAACATAGCATTTTAAGGCAAGAGAGATCATGGCTGTTAGTTAGGTGGCTCCCTGAGGAGCCTGGCTTCATTAAGACAGTGTGCAGTAGACGCAGTCTAGACAAACAGTGGCCTCGGTCTCATGCGCAAATTACCAAGTTGCTCTTTGTATCTATAGCTTCATTCATTGATTGCTCTCTCTCTTCCCAGAGGGCAGAATGGCATCTGTGCTTGCTTTTGCACAGGGGAGTGAGCCCCCTGCAGCGGGTGCTTTCACCACCTTTCCCTCCCACCCGCCCCCCCATCTTTGCCTGCTTCCTGTCAAAACGGATTGCAGTAGAAGTGCTTATGACAGGTGTCTAAGTTCATATTTTAGATGTATGCGTTTTGGGGGACTGAGTGGCCTTTGGAGACATCTTAAAAATGGAAACAGAGAGATCTTTAATGCTTAGTAAGGAGACATTTCATTTTCTGAAACATATTCTCAAGGATAAACAAATTTTAGAGCAAAGAATTTCCTTTTTACAGTTAACTTTAAGGGTGGTTAGTTTGTTTCTTTGGGTTCTGTTTTGAAGGTTCTTTCGTAAAATTAATTCTCAATTGGTTTTAGTTTGGAGATCTTAAGTTAGCAACTTAATAAAATTTTTCTTATGGCCACCTTATTTAAAACTGTGAGTTGTGGCGTGATGAAGTAACATAACAGAGATTGCAAAGGGAAGTGGTGAAAGTTTATGGTTGAATTCACTGAAAATGTGCTAAATTTAGGCTTATTGTATAGAACAATTCTAGTTTTCTGGGAAGAAGGAACCTGAAAAGAACCTCATGTTTACTGGGTGGAGGCGAGTTGTACAGCCCGGCGTGGCTTATGCAGGCACACAACCTCACTGCAGTAGCCCCGGGTTTCAGAATTTGTGTCAGATGCTGCTGTAGCCACCTCAGGAAGTGCTTGGATCCTTTCTGCACGCAATTCTGCAGAGCCAAGAACCTCCTCGTGACTGATCCAAAGATTCATTCCTTTATTTATTTATTTTACAATGATTGTGAATAGATCTATCCTGCTGAATGAATTCATGCTAATAGATTTACAGTGTATGGTATAAATGGCCATAGTTCATTTTCAAGCGGTAGTATTAAAAAATAAATTTAAAATGCTTTCCACCTGAAGCTTCTTGCAAGATTGTTGAAAAGGAAGATGCTCTTTAACAGTGATTGTTTACCTCCTCAATAGGTATCCAAGTTAATGTTCCCTTTTAGATTTAAAAAGCTGTGATTATAACAGCCAGTAAAGCCCAGAAAACTCTGGTTCAAGGAAGAAGCTGGTTTCGAGAGCACAGAAGATACCTTTAGTATCAGTAGTAAATCTCTGGCATGGCACCTTTCATAGGCACCTGCTCTAGGAGTGCTTAAACTACCTTCGCACTTTTCTTCTTACCCTGAGGTTTCAAGTTACCTTCCAAAGACATAACTTGTCACGAAGTTGTTCTCCATGAAACCATTTTTGTCAGCAGCTTCTCTATGTGCCACATAATTATCTTGTCTTCCAGGATAAAAGTATGTGTCATGTAGGAAGCAGGAAGCCTTAAGTTCATTCTAGAATTTCAGAAGATAAGCAGTCTGGGTAACTCCCTGGGCACTGCTGAACTCACCCACTTTTTGCGAGGAGTATGCTGTATCCATAACATGCGGACATATGATGCTTCCACATTTTTAGTAGGCTCTAAATTTCTGATTTGCTATAGCTATAGGGTCTTGCTTATATACAGTAGGCTATCATTTTGCAGTAAGTTCAATTCTTTATATAAAGTGTTATTTTTTAGTCTTTTAAAATAAATTAATAGTGGAGAATTCAGGACAAATTATTTGCTGTCAAGAATTTTCTTTAGGCTAGCGTGTTTTACAAGGTATCAAATCTTTTCACCTGCTCTTATTTTCCTTATTAAAAAACTAATATTTACTGATATGACTCCACTGCTTTCTGATTGAATGACCATGGGCAAGTTTACTCAGTGTCTCTGATCTTCAGTTTCCCTAGTTGTAAAATGATACCTAATATATACCTTCACCAGGTTGCTGTGATGAGAATAAATTTTTTAAAAAAGCCCAACTCTCAGCAGGTGCTCATAATGCCAAGTCTCTTGCCAGGAACACTTAGATCACTGAAATACTCAAGATATTTTGGCAAATACTAACATTGTGTTTTAAGAACACCCAACAACATTTGGGAATAGCTCCAGATGATGTTGTAGGTGTATTTACCCCCAACCTACCTTAACTTCACTGAACCCCCACCCACCCTGCCAAAAAAAAAAAAAAAAAGTGTATTTGGTAAAACGCTAACAGAAATAGTTAGTAGTCAGTATTTTGCTGAACCTAAGTATGGGCTAAACAGTATTTCTTACTTCTGCTGTTAGTGTTTTTTTCTTCTCTCATGCCTTAGCTAAAGCTGAAGCTTCTACCTCTGCATCCTGTGCATGTGTTGGAGTTTGGGTGGGAGCTTCCCTCCTGGTATACTGTGATTTCCCTTCATGGATAAAAAGATACCCTAGGAATTTATGTGGCTTTTAAATGATAATTTAAATTATCTGGGGGTTTTAATTTATACTATAGATGTACAGGCCCCTCCTTTTTCATTACATTTCTGTAGTAATAAAATACCTTAGAAGTTTTCTATATGAAGATTTTTCAGTTTTTGTTGTCTTTTAAAGAAAACAAATGAAATGGAAGTATTCGGGCCTTGAGAGGCTTGCTTTCCTCCTCTCCTGTCTGTTCTGAGATCAAGAAAACCGTGTTTTCCACTGGATTCTAAACACAGCCTATGGCCGTCTTTGGTAAGAAACAGGCTCTGCAGTTCAGGACTGTAGGAAGAGGAAGGTCTGACCTATGTTCCCTTTACAGTGGCCCTTGCTGTTTCCCTGAGTCCCACCAATTATGCAATCTTAATATACTTCTCAAGAAAAAGGGGAAACTAGTTCAGCCCCCACCCTGGCCTGGCCCTTACATTGATTGTGTCCATTAATCCTCGTGGCAGGAGGACCCTCACCCCACAGGTAAGGAAATGGGCCAGAGAGAGGCCCTAGGAGACAGGACAGAAGGAGAGGAGAGGAGAGGAGGAGGCCACCCTCTCCAGACCCTGAGACTTGCTCTCTTACCTGACACCCTCCCCCCATGAGTTGAGTGACTGCATTTCCCTTTGTAAGAGGAACCTCTGGCCCAGGCATTGGTTGTCTGAACAGGCCCAGCTCTGCTGACTGACTTGGTCAAGTTACCTCACTCTCTGTGCCTCAGTTTCCTCACCTGTGAAGTGGAAATGAAATAGTACCCACATCATAGGGCCGATCTTAGCATTTATGATCAGTATGGTTTAATATCAGCCCAAGAAAATTTCTGTTTTTCCATTGCAAAAGAACCTAGGGACAGTCCTGTTCCTGGGAAGTCCTGGCTGAGGGTCGAGAGACACGGGTGCTGTGCTGAGGGAAGCCTGGTCCCGTCTGTGCTGCCTCGTTTTCTTCCAGTCTAAGATGAGAAATGGGAAGATGACTGCCACATAGTGTCCCAGATCATTCATAAATAAACTTGTTCCTTTGGTACATTTGTTTACTTAATGTCTTGACCTGCTGGCAGAGATGTGGGAAAGCTTTCAGAAACGTAATGCTTAGCTGTTGGCAGGCACTGTCATGTGAAGATCCACTTATCAAACACGAGAGGACTTCAAAGCTGTAGTGATGGTCAACATGAAAACAGGATTCAGCACTTCAGAAACCACATGTCTGCAGCTCTTGGTGTTGTGTGTACAGCGTGCTGCCCTGTTAGCGTCATTCAGCTCTGAGGCCCCCTTGTGCCTGTTGTGGTGCAGACTGTGGCTCCAAGAGGGGAGACCAGTGGTGGGTAGCAGGTATCTCCATAACTCGTCATCTCTGGAAGAGTCACCTCCAGGTGCAGCCCCTGTTGCTTGGAGCACCTTCAAGGGCGGAGTGTGTGCAGAACTCCACGGGGGGCAGGCCTGGAGGAGATAGTCCCAGAAGGAGGTTAGGAGACGTTTCACAGGTGAAAGCAGGTTTTTTCATCTGTCGTGTATATATGTATATGTGTGTGTGTGTATATATATATTTTATATATGCATATATATGTATGTATGTATGTATGTATGTATGTGTGTATGTATATATATATATATATACTGTTCCCCTAAACCATATATTTATTTACTGTTTGTTTCCCACCAAGCAAAGACATTCTCCTGTACAGCCACTATACCGCCATCTGAACCAGGAAACTAATGTTGACACCTTCTGACCCTCAAGATCTAATTCAGAATCCCTTGTGGCATTTAGTTGTCTCACCTCCTAGTGTTCTTGAGCCTGGAGCAGTTCCTTGGTCTTTCCTTGACTTTTGTGACCTGTGTTTTGGAGAATGTACCTCTCTTTGGGGCTGTGTGATGTTTCCTTGTGGTTAGATTCAGGTCATACATCTTCAGCAGGGGTGTCACGGGAGGGGTGCTGTGTCCTTCTCGTGGCATCTCATCAGGCGGTGCACGATTTTAACTTGTCCTCTTATATGCGATGTTCACTTTGATTCCTGGGTGAAGGTGGTGTCTGCCAGGCCTCTCTGCTGTAGTTCTTTCCTCCATTGTAGTTAACAAGTACTTCGTGGGGAGGTGCTTTGGAATTCCATGATTTCCTCTTCCTCATCCAGTGTTGGTTATTTAGTTATGTCGGTCTGTGCTCATGGTTTCATGACTCAGTAGGTGATGTTCTGTGGCTGTCATTGTTTACTTTGCTGCGCATACGTCGCTGGTTGACCAGCGGGAGCCTCCTCAGGCTGGCTCTGTGTCCTGGCCTGTCCACATTGTTCTTGGGCACTTCCTCGTTGTGGGACACAGTAAGATGTTATGGGCTCATGTGTACTTCATCCCACCCCAACCTTACAGTCAGCCGTTTCTGCAAGGAGCCCTGGTTCCTTTAGAAGGGAAGGGTGTGGAGAGCGACAGGCTGCTGTCAGCATGCTTGCTGCTGAGGAGCTGGTGCTGCGCCCCCCTCCCCCTACCCCCAGTGGACAGAGGGCAGGAGAGAATGTGAGTGCACACGTGTGTGTGTGTCCACACGTGTTCATGCACACCTGTCTGTTGAAAACCACATATTCACACCAACACCTTCAATTCCAACCCAGTGCCAAGGGTTAGCTAAAGGGTTCTCCTTTTCTGTATTTGTAACTCCCTTCCCACACTCTGGGCCATCTCCCACCCCTACCCATAAGATGCCTACCCTGCTCAGCTTTAGCACTCAGTCATCGGAGGAGAGTGAAGGGCTTAACTGACTTCTCAAGGGGAACCACAAGCTGACTTTCTGGGCCTTCTCAGAAGAACTTATTTCTGTTCCTTTGATGCACTGGAGTCTTCCAGCCTATCTCAGCCGCCCCCATCCCCGCCAGCGAGTCCCTCACTAGCAGTTTCCTCTAACAGCATCAGGGCTCTGGCTTACCTGCTTATTTGAGGAACCCATTTGCAGCTTCGGATTTATCAAGAATTAAAATAGAGTAATTTTCAGCATATTTTAGACACACGTTTACACTTAACTTTCAGCTTTTTAAAACTCTGACTACTTTTTAGTAATTATAATTATTATTATTCTTTTCTCAAAAAAAAAGTGTACCCATAAGTAGAAAAAAGATTAGTATAGAATTGCTAATAAGTAGAAACGTGTGAAAGGGACAGCTTACGCTGGTTTGGAACTGAACATTTAACTTCCACTTTAGGAGTTATCAGGAAGCAGTATATCATACTGAAAGACAAAGAACTAGAACTCTCCACTCTGTCATAAAATGGGAGAAAAAGTGAAGCAGGCCTTTGTGGCTATAGGCTGTCTCCTGGCAAAACTCTGAAAGCTCTTTCTGAGTCATGAGACAGCCAGCTACTGCCTGCAGACACACCCGTTGCTGCTTTAGATGGAAGGGCTTTGCCATGAGGTTCAGAGTTTAACAGTCTAAAACGATATTGGGAAAGGCTGCTGATAAAGATGTAGAGAACTCTTCAAATCTCTCTCCCCATCATATTTTTTCTGTTTGATTTATGTAAATGATCAGAACTATCTCAAATCGGCTCTGGGTTGCTGTATGCTATGTCTCCCAGCCTAGCTGGCTGGCTTTTTATTCACCTGCTGTTTCTTCGGATGCTCTCTTGTGCAGAACACTTATACCAACGCAGATAAGTTACTAGAAGCAGCAGAACAGTTGGCTCAGACTGGAGAATGTGACCCAGAAGAGATTTATCAGGCTGCCCATCAGCTCGAAGACCGGATACAAGATTTCGTTCGCCGTGTTGAGCAGCGAAAGATCTTACTGGACATGTCAGTGTCCTTTCACACCCATGTAAAGGAGGTGAGGCATTGGGAGACAAAAATATAATCCATGTCTGAAAGGGTCTGTGAACTCCATGGAAGAATTTGAATTTGGTGGAAATGAGGAAAAGTGGACCAAAGGTGGTAAGTTGTGAGCCCATCAGTACTGAGTGCGTCTGCATGGACGGGGTTGGAGCTGGACCTCTCAAGTTGGCCTTGGCCTCGCATGAGTGTATGCTTGCCTTTGCCGGGGATGTCTGTAAGGAGAGGACCTGGGAGGGTTAGGAGAGCAGGGGAGAGGTGTGGACCAGGATGCAAGCAGGGAAAACAGGAAACTGAATGAGATCCATTCAACTTTGGAGACAGATCATGTCCATTTAGCATAAATAGAGCACCTACATGTTGTGGTCAGAGCTGTTGGGTTTCCTTTCTGTGTTAGCCCATCACATGGCTAAAGTCATGATTGCCTTCTGTTTTCATCAGACTACTCTTAGATACTAATAAAGGTGAATATTACATACTACTGAATTTAAGTATACATGGTATTGAATTTAAGTATACTAAAGCCAACATGGTGTAAATAATACTAATGCTGTTATAGGTATGCTCTTATTAATAAACTTACCTCATGGTTAGAGATAATGTTATTTGGTGTGTGAAAGATAGGTAGGTACTAATTATACCTAGTGTGTGTGTGTGTATATATATATACATATATATATATGTTGTCCTTGTGTGTGTGTGTGTGTGTGTGTGTGTGTGTGTGTGTGTGTGTGTGTGTATATATATATAGGTTGTCATTGGTAGAAATCATATAAAGTTATATAAAAGAAGCTATTATGTAACTTTTGATTAAAAAGG